CAGCATCATATTCTATAAAAAGTTTCTTAAATACTTAAAATTTAACAGCATCAGACTCATAAATTTTTCTAATTATTTGATTTATATAAGAGTTAATATAATTACAACATTTTTTAGTATCACAGAAATATTTTCCCCTATTATATTCTAAATATTCTTTTACTGTATTAAAATATACATCAATTGTAAAGATTTTACTAGAAGGAGTCTCAATATAACTATCTACATGTTCAATCTCAGTAGTATCTTCAGGAGTTATTAATGGATATTTGAATATATCTCTAAATTTAAGGAAATCATTGTACGAATAATACTAAAAAATATAAATAAATTAAATTATTATAGTTTAATAATTAAAATGAACATTTTTCTAACATACTACTGTATTAATTATGTAATATATATATATATATAAATACTTTACTTAATTATGATTACACTTATATCATTTACACCATTTTTATTATCCATTGTGTATTTATATAACAAACATAAGAAAACATTATTATGCATAAACTTGTATATATTCTAAATAAATTACATATACCATATAATAATATAATCGTTGTATGTTTTTGTAATTCAATAAAATATTTATTGAATATATCATATACTAAAAAATACATTAATTTCACGTTCAATATTACAAATAATATAATAAATAGGAACAAATTATATTCATGAAAAAGGTATGGGAAAATGAAAAATATCAAATTTTGTGAAAAGTATAAGATTTAATTCTTACAGATTATTGATTACATATTTATTTTTAGGAATCTCATATAATCCATTCTGAAACATATTTTAACTTTAGTGCTTTGAATCTTATTCAAATATATAAAATATATTAATTACTTGCTATTATATAATTTAATAATTTCAAGTAAACATAAATTATTTCTTGATAGAACACAATACTGTATTATATATTTAAGTATTTTTTAGCATTTATTTAGTATATAATATTATTTAATATTTTAGCAATATGCATATATGTTTACTGTTATCGTATTTTTGAAAAAATTATAAATGTTTTATAGGGTAATTGTATATATAAGTGTATATTTCTTTATTTTGATTCGTATATATATTTAATACTTATATTTAATTTTTATTATGTACTACATAT